TGACTGGGGTAATCGGGATGGGTATGTCAGAGGCAGTGCGGTTGGCGCAGGATAGAGCAGGGTTTAGGGCTGTTGTGCATAGGGTCGCTATGAGTCGAAAACAACTCGACGGCACATAACAACAACAAGATAGCGATAATATTCTTTCTCCTTTTTTATAATAAGTCTAACTAGATGTTTGTAAATTTTGATCTGTTCTTTGAAACTTTTTCATCAATCTTTGCTTATTTTTTTTTATTCATTTTATATTTTATTGATTTCTGCTCTTTAAGACTTAACTTTAAAAAAAAGACTTTTTTTTGTTTTTTTAAATATTCTTAGGGTGAAAAAGTTTCTTTTTAAACTTTTACCTTTGAGAAACATGGATTTTTATATTGAATTCGCTGAGTGCCTCCAGTTTTATGTATCATAAATCTCGATGTATTATAATAACTTTTAAGACTATGTAGACAAGTATGACAGGAAAAGTAATGGACATTGATGTCTATTTCCAAAGGTTACCATACACGTTTTTCCAAGTGGTCCTTTTAAAGATAAAGGCTTTTAGCTATCATTGGTTAATGTTATCTAACACATTCTGTGATTGTCTGTTTTGTGTTTTGGTTTTTTAAAAAATTATGTCTTTTAGTATAAAATTGAAACCAGATTCTTCCATGTTAGTGACATCTTCCAATGTCTTGGTTTTGTTTTGCAGATAATTTATTGTTTGTAATAAACTCTATAAAGCAGGAAATTGTAAACCGAGTACAGAATCCGAGGGAAGAGAGAGGACCCAACATGGGACAGAAGCTTGAAATACTCATTAAAGACACTCTAGGTAAGAATAGTACAGGATATAGTCATAACAAATAGTAACATAAATTATAAGATAGATGATTCAAGAGCATTTTTAAAGTTCCTCCCTCTCTCCTTCCTTCCCTTTTCCCCTCCCTGTCTCTATGTCTCATTGCCACTGAGTCAGCACTGACTCATAACTTACTCTGCATTGAGTTTTTGAGACTGTAAATTGCATGGGATGAGGTTGCTCCTTTTTCTCCCCTGAAGCCACTGGTGGATTTGAACTGCCAGTGAGGAGGTAGCTTTTGGGTTGGCAGCACAGCTCCTTGTCGTTAGTGATCCCTCAAGTGCTTTCCTTATAGTCAGTCTCCTTTTGTCTTGACTTATTTTTGCTTTTGCTTTAGTAGTCATAGTTTTTATTTGTTACCACAACATGTTATTTAGATGTTATAATTTGTTTTAATGTGATCAAAAGACAAATTTTTACTGTTACATGGGGGGATGTAAAAGAAAAAATTTTTTTAGTGTACCATGGACTGCTAAGAAAATAGATTCCTCCTGGAGAGGGTTAAAACGGGCTGCTCCTTAGAGGCAAGGTTTCTGAAGCTTCGTCTGACATACTTTGGTCATGTTGTAAGGTGGGGACCGGTCCTTGGAGAGGGACGTCATGCTTGGGAGGGTGGAGGGACAGCGCTGGAGGGGAAGACCCTCTATGAGGTGGATTGATTCAGTGACTGGGGTGATCGGGATGGGTGTGTCGGAGGTAGTGTAATTGGTTCAGGATAGAGCAGAGTTTAGGGCTGTTGTACATAGGTTCGCTATGAGTCACAGGCGACTCAATGGCATGTAACAACAACAACAACAACACATACATTGTAATCTTTGTGGAGGTTTTTACCTGTTTGTTTAATTTGGTAATGCATCAACTGAATTCTAACAAACACAGTTATCCATATACCTTCCCATCTGTGAACAGATTGCATAGGATGGGGAGGATCAGAGGAGGCAGTATCCTGAAGTAAGACATAATCATAGTTGATAAGGAGGGTAGAGAGATGTCATTGTTAAAATAGACAGGAAGACTTCATAGACCTCATAGTAATAGCTGGATAATATTCATGAAAACTCTAAACTGTCCTAAAACTTAGATACATTATTATATAAAGATTGTATAGAGTGGTAAACTTCATTTACTCAAACATTTTCTTCATTTTTTTATTGAATGTTGAAAGCAAGTCACTTTAAAAAATTTGAGGTAGAGCCTATTTTTTTCTTATTAACAATTTATTTCTGAATTTTAGAGTAACAGAAACTTTAGGTTTATAACCTTGTTTTTGTATTTCTCTTTTTATGTGTATAAATATCTTATATTTTTAAAAAAATTTTTCTGTTAAGATTTGTTTTCTGACTTTTTACTGACATTTACTGCCAATTTAGTTTTTGCAAATATTTTTTCCAAGGTTTTCTTTGTTCCAACTGATGGGAATATAAGTTTGAATAATGGAGACTTGGTCCCTACTTGTTAAAATTATAGTCTGAAAATGGAAAACAATGAAGTAGGAAAACAAAAATAGTAATAAATTGTAAGGAGTGGGTATTTTTTTTTTAACTTTTTGTTTGTTTGCTTGTGGTCTCCCCTTTTCCTCTCCCTTTTTTATTGGTTTGCTTACAAAGTTCATATACATTGTGTTTCACACTGTTCATCATTCACATTATTTTTCATACAATCATTCACATGCATTATATTTTATAAAATTAATCACCATTGGACTTTGCCCGTTCCCCCCCCCCCCCGCAATGTGCAAACCTGTGGTTTATTTCCATTTATATAGAAAAACATTTCATGTTAGTAACTCTGAAAGTGCATTTTTAGCTGAGTATTGAATATGTATTGCTTGTTTCTGTTTAATTAATGCATTTCTCAGTCTTTGAAATTAATTTTAAGTTTGTCTTAATAGCCCTGTCTGCATACTGAATGTAAAGTATGTTCTTATTTTTGAAGGACAACTTGGAATCCAAATACAGTTAGCAACACAGTGTCAATTTTGACACAGTAAGTTGATAAAATGTGATAACTCTTTGTATTTGTTGGCCAAAAAAGAAATTTCTAAAGATAATTTCTCCTCTAGAGCAGCTTAAATACATTGGAGTCTCTCTTAAAGGATTTTTAATTGAGCTTTTAATGAAAGTTTAGAGAAAACTTGAATTTCTATTGATTCATTGTTGCACATTTTCTTCCATATCCACCCCTTCCCCCAAGTTCACTTTTCTCTTTGGGGGGGGGGGATTCTTTCATTTGTTATACAATCCCCTCACCCACCCAGTCCACTTTACTATGCAGCTCTTATGCAGATAATACCTAATCATTATTCCTTTCAAACAGTTCTCTTCCTCATCTGTTTGAATGCAGTATACATTATTTATCCCCAATTTTCTTAGTTTCCCCCCAATCCTGGTATCAGTTCTGTTTATAACAATGGCATTATGCAGTATTTGTCCTTTTGTAACAGATATTTCACACAGCATAATGCCCTCCAGGGTTACCCATTTTGTATATTTCATGAATTCCTTGTTCTTCAAAGCAACATAGTGTGGATATCCATTGTGTGGATAGACCACAGCTTCTCTGTCCATTCATTTGTTGATGGGCACTTGGGTTGCAAAGCTGCAATAAACATGGATGTGCATATAACTGCTTGGGTGGCAGTTCTAGTTTCTTTAGGGTATGTTCCCAGTAGTGGAATTGCTGAGTCAAATGGTATTTCTATTTCCAACTTTTTGAGAAAGTGCCATACAGCCTTCCATGGTGGTTGCACCATTTTACACTCTCACCAACAGTGAATAAGCATTCCAATTTGTCCACAACCTTGCCAGAATTTGTTGTTTGCTGCTCTGTTGAATTTTGCTATTCTTACTGGGGTGAGATGATATCTCATAGTTGTTTTCAATTACTCTTTAGAAACTATATGATCTAATTTTTTTTGTTATTAACTCTTTGAACTGTGTTTCTTTTGACATCAATAATCTATAATTTATGTGTTTCTAAAAAATATTCTCTTTATTTAGATCCTCAAATTTATTGGAGCTTTTAGTAAAGCAGCTTAATATTTAATTTCTTCTTCATCAGTGGTTAGTGTTCCATTTCCATTTCTTATTTTTCATTTATTGTGTTTTTTCTTACTAGTTAAAAGATTTTTCTCCTCTCATCTCCAAGCACTATTAATTTTCTCTAGTGTCTTTAATTGCTTAATTACCTTTTTGTATCATATTATTAGTATAATAAAACACTGAAAATATTATCTCAGCTGACTTTAGCTTTAGCTTATTTATAAGTTCTGATAGTTATCTTTCATTATTCTCTGAATATTTTGAAATTTACATTAGATTTACTCTTTGAGCCAAGAATTATCTGATAGAGGTTTAAAATTTCTCAGAAGATAGGGATGGTGATTTTCTAGTTTCCTTAACGTCTCTTTTTGTGGTTTAATTGAGATTTTTCTTAGCTACTTAAAAAAATTGAAATATTCCATGAACATTTGAAAGTTTCCTTTTATATTAAGGCCTCAATATGTGTTGACTAGATTAATTTCAGTTACACTAGTTGGATATTCTTTACCTTTTCTTTTTCTTTTTCGGTCTTCGTTGTCTATCAACTAATAGGTATTGATTTCCTCTTGCATTTTCAGTGGTTTTGCTTTTGAGTATCAGTTTTGTGTTATTGGTTGACCACTATTTATTCCTGCTAGATCTCCACATTGAATTATAGCCTTGATTACCATGACACATGTTTCTTTATCTTGTTTCATGGCCATTTCCATGAATTTAGTCCCGTCTAATGCTAAATCATTACTACAAGCACCTTTCTTATTGCCTATATTTTCCCTAGTAATATTTTGGCCTACCTTTCCTTTTTCTCCTTTCTCACTTAATTTATATTTCTAATTTATATTAGATGTTGTTATGTGCCATCAAGTCACCTGTGACTCAGCAGCCCTCTATGTACAGCAGCTCTGAAGCCTGCCCTTTCCTGCGCCAATCTTGCTGTCTCCGACAACCTAATCCCATTGTCCCCGTTACCATCTCAGTCCATCTCATCCGGGGTCAAAAATCTGGTTTTTAAATCTACTCTTAGATTTTTATATAGTCATGTGCCATACATACATATATAGTCAAGAGAGCAGTGGTCACCTACTGGCAAGAAGCTGCGCTTGCGATCCCGGAGGAATGCAGTTCAAATCTCCCAGGTCCTCTGAGGGAAAAAAATTAGTAACTCCCTCGCCTGTGATTTACAGTCTCTGAAAACCTTCTAGAGGGTCATCTGTAAGTTAATCCCAACTGAGCGACACATGACAACACTAAAATTGTCAGTTTGAGCCTTGTCTAACTACAGCTACCTATGGCCCCAATATCTGTAAAACCTTTTATATTAAAAATTCAAGGCCCATACAGTAATTTGTGTTAACTTTTCAGGGACCATTAAAACCTTATTATTGTCATAACTGTGTTGTTATGTGTCGGCGAATCGACTGTGACTTATAGTGACCCGGTGCACAATCTCTCTGAATCCTGCCCTATCCAGAGCTACTCTCCGTCTCTGACACACCTACTATATGTTAGTATGTTAAAGATCTTTTAGTGTAAAATTGAATTATGTAGTGTATATTAAATTATTCATAATTGTTAATTTGGAAATTTTATGGTTTTGTGCTGTAATTGCCTTTATAAAATGTGCATTTATATTTTTAATTTAAGCTTTTAGTTTTACAGAAGCATCTAAGTAAACAGTCTAGTGAACACCTATAGGTCTTTCAATTATATTTACCAGTTGTTACTATTCTGCTACATTTACTTTGTTTCTCTGTATTTTTTCTGAATATTTATAAGTGATTTGTAAACAGAATTTTTTATCCCTATATACTTTTTTAAAAAACTATTTTTTTATATTTTGTATGTGTACCTTCAAATCAGATCTGACTGGCACAGGAGGAGATTGCCCCTCCTTCTCCAGCAGAGATTTGAACTGTTTATCTCTGGTAGCTTCTGGCCACTAGTTCACCAGAACTCCCTTGTCCCTAAATACTTTTAACATGACCCTTGAAATACTCAATTGTCTTAGTTTCCTAGTGCTACCTTAACAGAAATACCATAAGTAAGATGGCTTTAAGCACAGAAATTTATTTTCTCATAGTATTGGAGATTGAAAGTTCAGATCAGGGTCACCTGTGTCACTTCTTGCTTTCACTCTGTAGTTTCTAGTCAATACTGGCAATCCTTGGCATTCCTTGGCATTCCTCTGGTCACTGAATATTCTGCTCCTTTTTTGTAATTTGGAAGTGATAAGATTTAAAGCTTTCCTCACCACATTTTCTAGCATATCTTCATTAACGTAATAGAAGGCATACTACCCCAAAGAAACCATAACTGCCACCCAAGCAGATATATGCACACCCATGTTTATTGCTGCTTTGTTCACAATAGCAAGGAGTTGGAAACAACCTAAGTGCCCATGAACGAATGAATGGATAGAGAAGCTCTGGTATATTCACACAATGGAATACTACGCTGCATTGAAAAACAAGGAACTCATACAATTATTCAAAAGGGGTGACCCTGGAGAACATTATACTGAGTGAAGTATCTCAGTAACAAAAGGACAAATACTGCATAGTGCCATTGTTGTAAAACAGGACTGACATTGGGATTGAGAGGGGACTGAGAAAGATGGGTTCAACAATGTATACTGCATTGAAACAGATGAGGGAGAAACTGTTTAAAAGGGATATGTGATTAGGTATTATTGTCATGACAGGAGTCCAGAACGAAGGCTGCATAGTGGAGTGGACCTCACGGGAGGGACTGTAAAACAATGAAAGAATTTTTCTTTTACTTTTGAAGAGAAGAGTGAATTGGGGTGGGGAGGGGTGGGCAGGGAGAAAAGTGCAAAAATGAATGAATGGAAATCCAAAGTCTCTGTAAATTTTCATAAAAATTAATGATAAAAAAAATTAGAAGGCATACTGATCTGATAGAGGCTGATGGACCCTCTGAGACCATGGACCTTTTTTTTTTCTTTAGTCTTCTTTCTAATATGACACAAAACTCACTCCTGGAACTAAAATTTCAGCCAAATAGTAGACAGGCCTTTAATGGGAACAGTAGCAATGAAGAGGTACTAACTTCTTAGACTAGCCAGCCATCTAAAGTTGGAAGAGCTCACCTATCCTAAGGGAAAACCTATAAAATAGGAAGGGACGGGAGTAGAATAGGAAGATAGATAGAAATGAGAATCACGGGGAGAAAGGATAGCTTGACTCATTTACTTTGAATCGAAATCAACTCATTGCTGACTCTCCAGTCGATTTTCAGAGGCCGTACATCACACGGAGGAGATACCTACCTACTGCCTCCCTTTGGATTGAAGTTCCTTTCTTCTAGGCCACCAGAGCTCCCAGAACACAACTCAGACTCATTGCCATCATGTTAGAGCCAACTCATAGCTGACTCTATAAATCACATGGGAGGAGATCGCCCAACTTTATCTCATGGTGCAGCTGGAAGAAAGGACTCCCCCTTGTAGGATTGTAATTAATCTTACAAAACAAAATATATGTGAATGGTTGAAGAGAAAACCAGTTTTCTATTTTTTAACTTTCACTCCAGCATGTATACACACAAAAAATAATTGCTTAGCCATGCTTCATGATTATTCTTGGTTTGTATCTTTTAATAATCTTAAGATTGTACACTCCAACCTGATGCATAGAATTCTTTCCTGAGCTGCAGTGCAAGTACCCAGACACTCACTTGGACCCATATGTGAACCTGACCCTCAGATGTTTTTTCCTGTTGCTCACCTCCCCCGAATGCCATCTCAATTTCCATGTCTGAGTATGCTTCTTACTCTTCTCTTCAGGCCTCCCAGTGGCTGGACAGACATCTGAATTTGTTAACCAAGTGTTAGAGAAGACTGCAGAAGGCAATCCCACTGGAGGCCTCGTGGGACTAAGGATACCAACGTCAAAAGTGTAATCAGCTTCATCGGACCACTGGTCAGAAATGTCCGTGTTCACCGCATTCTTCATTGTAAATTTTCATTCTGTTTGCATGTCAGTTTAGCATTATGTAAACATTTACAATTAGGTCACATTATTTTAAGAACTAAGTATATAAGTGAAGCATGATCCAAAATACTTGATTACTGCATTTTTCAGAGCATAAACCCTGGGTTAAAACTGCTACTGGCATCAGAATTGGAATTCATATGTTGAAGCAAATGTTTAAGGTACAGATTTTAAAAATCTGTTGAAGCAAACATTATGGACAGGCGAAGATAATTGATGTCAGATGTCAAATATTGTGGTAAGTTTATGCTCTGAACCACACAAAAAATTGAGGAAGCATTTTTCAAACAGTCAGTTTAGATTGTTTTTAGAATTATTGCTTTTTCTTGTAATTTTCCACAACCATTAATTTCACTTGTACATGGCACATCTAGCACTGGTGCCCATGTGCCATATTAGATGTTTATTTTCAAAGCTTAATACTATATATATATATATATATATATATACACACACACAAACATATATATATATTAATGTCTGTGCAAGTAAGAAAAAAAAGCATATTCTTTGTGCCTTGTATTTTGGGGAAACTATAAAACTGGTAATATTTTGTATGATGAAAAACCCTAATGAGGAAATATAAGATATATAGATGGAAAAATTATGGGGTTTAAATGGCTTTTTTTGTTCCAACTCTTTTTCAAATTTTTTGAATGTATATAGGACTATGTTGAAATGTAGATATATGCCACAGAGTCTGTGTATTGTATAAAAAACAAACAAAAAACAAACAAACAAAAAAAAAGATGGCTCTAGAAAACTCAATTTCGGTACTTGACCGGAAGAAGACAAATACTTGCACATTATTGCGATTGTTTTATTTTTTTGTACCAAAGACAAATGCAACTGATATGGCAAACTGCCAGTCTAAGTAAAGTTTTGCACAGCTTACATGATACTGTATGAATGTATGAAAAAAAAAAAGGAAAAAAAAAAAGAAAAATTTAAAAGGTCAGGGTTAGGGATCTTACTGAACTGTGAATTTTATTTCTGTTTGGGTCCAATTATCTACAGAAGGAGCATCCATACATACAAATATTATTTTGCTGTTCCTCTAGTTTGCTTCAATAGTAGATAAGTTGGTGGCCATTTAGATGTCTATAAATCTTTTTATTTCTGCACTTATTGTAGGAAATTTTAATATATTTCATTTTAGTAAGCTATTGGTAAAATAGTTTTTGACTTTGGAAATGAAAAAGTTTATTTAGCTTATTGTAGTATACTTCCACCAAACAACCAAAATACAAATTATTTTTATTGTATTATGTACATATATATATAAAGAAAAACTAAAAATATCTAATTCTTTAGTTGCCACTTTTCCAATTGATGTATTATTGTGCATGTAATATTTTCAAGATCAACACAAGCTTAAGACAACAAAAAAAATTTATAGATTTTTATATTTTTGTACAGATATTTTCAGACTAGCTTCTTCAAACTTACATGTGACTTATTCTTCTTCTATAGTTTCTAGAACTGAGAACTATCAACACATTTAGTTTTTAGGTGCTCTTTTGGCCCACATATGACAGCTTTGTTAGTCAGTGTTTTAACTGTTAAAGCTTTACCTCTTGATGGGAAATTTCATATGTCAAGGCAGCATTATAAACTTTTCCCAGAACTTTTCTCTAGCCTGTCTCTCTTTGTTTTTTCCTCACATCTGGTGGCTTAAAAAACTATTCTTATACAAACAAAAAGCAAACAGCAATTTTTTAAAAAATTACCCAGTTTAGCTACGGGAAAACAAAAACAATTACCAAAAATTTCAGACCTAGCTGCTGGAAAAGTATCTATTTCTCCAACTTACTGCTTGGAGAATTTATTCTTGAATTATGTGTGTCTCCATAATGGGTTTCCTTTTCTTTTACTTTTCTCATCCTGCCACCTGCCTCATTTGTAAGCTATAGCATGTGGAGCTGTAGCTTTTGAAGACTTAACTCGAAAATACACAGTAACAACTGAACTATATTGTTTATGTGCAGAGAAGGATTGTCTTAACATCTTAGCTGAACTGTGATGCACAGGATTTTCCTGTGTGTTTGGTGGAAATGTACTTGGTTTGTACATTCGCGCTGAACAGAGGATAAGCTCAGATATAATGGTTTAATAGAATGTAAATTTGTTGTTTAAAGTTTTTTTCTGTATAGATGAGAGAAGGCAAAGCACAGGTTTCTAACTTAAAAGTATGTGAAGTCTTTACAGAGTGTCCTGGTAAATTGGAAAATATTCTGAAACATGGCAGTTTTGCAATCAGATGAAGATTTCTTTATGATAAAGATTCTGCTGATGAGGTTTATTGTCCCTTTCTAGCTGCTCTGTTAGACATTCTGGTTTTCAATACTTTTCTCCTATCTGCAAACCAGAATTTGATATTTTTTTTTTGGTCTTGCATTTCAAAACAACAACAGAATTCTGAATCTGTTTAGTAGATTCCATATCCTTGCATTTCAGTGTTTTATATGTACTACTTAAGTTAAATAGTTAAAAGCTTTTAAATAGTTTAGCTTTTTAATGTTGACACTTTATTTTGTACCTATTTATATATGTATGTATTATCTTAGAAAAGCACTTTGTTAAAAATTGCATTTTATATGATTCCTGCCATTTGCTGCTAAATAAATCTGGGCTGGTCAGAATGCTGCAGCGATACTTGATCTAAATAAAAAAAAAAAACACCTGGCAGTAAAATGTAGAGTAAAAGTTAAATCCTTTTGCTGTTTTAACTTTATCATAAAGATGACATAGGCAAGCTGTGCAGCTTTACATTTTAACCAGGGGACTCTGTGGCATTTAAAACCGTCTAGAAATGGTTGTACTTTAATGCCAGTAATAATCTGCTTCCTCTATTGTCATTAAAATATATATGTTTAGTGTATCACACAAACAAATCTTATAAGGGTAACATAAAAACCCCAACAATTGTACATGTTCTGTTTTTTAAAATTGTGGCATGTATATTTGGGTAAAGGTCATTAGAGAAGAGCTCTCTAAAGGTTTTCTGTGTTCATACATGGTATACAGGTAGGCTCATAATGAAGTCCAGAATCTTACTTTAAGTGAAAGCATTTGTGAAATTCACCTCAAATAATAAACCCATTGTTCCAAAAGCAATTATATAAACTTGGACTCTCGTACTACTATGGTTTAAAAACAGAAATTTTCCTAGTTTCAGATACACTGGATTCTTTATAGTTTGTCTCCATATGAAAGCATGCTGTCCAGTTACTCTTGTTAAGATCTTGTCTGAATTTTCAATTGGGTGCCACACTTTTTCAGTCAATATGATTGCTTGTTCTACTGTACCATGTATGATTCTTGTCTTCTCCTATATCCTTCATGACAGATTATGATGTGGCTTTATATTGTGCCTTACTTGTACATTTAAAACTGTCTTCATCCTCTTCCACTTCCTAAATCTTTATCTTTGACCTTTTGGAAAGAGAATCATATCATGAAGGATTTCAGATGGACATAGTTTCAAAATTCCCTTCTCTTTATAGTTATTTTATATTTGTATGAAAGACCAGTTTTGAATGGTCTTTGACTACGGGGGGGCGGGGGGAGAATGAGCAGTAATTTCACTACATCTCTTTTTTTCTTACTTTCATGACTTTGTCATACACCTTCTTTCTGATGCTTGACTTTATTTGCTTCTTAGCAATAGTCTGCATTTAAAGAAAGTTGTGCTCAGTTCATTGGCTTGAAATGACATTTCATCTTTCCAGAATTTTTTAGGAGAATACCCATTTTGTTTGTTTTATAAAACAGATGACAAGTCTCTCTTTAAAAGAAACAGAAGTATAGTACTTTTGAGATACAATGCTGTCAGTTTGGATTCTTTTTTTATTTATAATATTCATATTATTATCTAATGTTTGCCTTCACTAATAAAGCTGTTAGTTTTTTCACCAAAATGTCAAGAATGGATGTGCTTTTCTTTTATCCCCACATTTAAAAATATCTTGCCTACTAAGATTTAGTTAACGTCTAAAAATAAATTCAAGTTGCCTTTCAGCAGGAATTAACAGAAACTTTGTTTTCTTTTTTTCTTGTAGTCTTCCTGAAATTCTGTTCAAGTGTTTTCTAGTTAATTATGTAACAGAATGTTAGCATCTCTCCAGATCTTGAAACTTGAATTTTCAGAATGCGTTGAATTATGCTTTCAGTGTTAAAGTAAAAGGTTTTGATTATTCTTCTAGTGAAGTCTGTTGTGGAATCCCACTTCCCATGGAACTGAGGACATTTCCACAACTTTGCACAGAATTACAGTCTTGTTCTTCCCTTGGGTCATGACAAATAAGTCTCACACAGTGCCGTAATACTTTGTGGATTCTTTTTAATCTTTGTAATCTCAATAAGGGCATTATGAGAAGATGACTCCATTTTTAAAAAATATTTCAAACTTTTGGGATGTAACAGTGAATGTCCATTTTAGGAATGGTTGTTTCGTTTTAAGGAATAAGCATATTGGAGAAAGATAATGAAAATATACTACTGAAAGTTAATAAATACAACTCCATAGGCGAGTGAGGATTATGTGTTGAAACATAGTCCTCATACTTAGCAGACTGATTGAACTGTAGAAATTACACCTAGAAAACAGAATTATGTCAAATTGCCATTGTTGTTTAGAAAAGAGATTTGGGAGTAGTAATGAGGAAATAGAACCTTAAAACTACTTCCAGATACTATTTTTGGAATTGAAGACTTGGTGACAAGTAAAAAACATCAGAGGGGCGTATTTCCGTGTGCCAACTTTGGGTGAACTAGGTTTGCCTGGTTCATAGCAATGTAAACACAACGGTGTAGTTAATTAAATTCTGGGTGGATGAGAGCGGCACTGATTACTATCTATGCCTTGCTCTTCGCCCTTTGTTTTTTCCAGAACCAAATAACAGAAAT